GGGGGGATGATTGGTAAGATGTGGTTTCTTGCTCACACTAGTTCAGAATGAAATCACACTGGTGCTACAAGGTGTGAGAAATTGAATCCCTGTCTTCCTACCTATTGCAGAGGCAGAATAGCGTCAGAACTAGCTGCATTAGAGCTTTGTATTCCTTTTATTGGAGCATGCCCCCTGCCATAGTTACTTTATTCGATGTGGCTTGATTCTGAAGTCATTTACTGCTTTGTATTGCTTAATAGGATAATTTTGGAGGGTCTTTATGGATCCTTGAAAGAGAAAAGCAACAATGTACTTGATCTTCACTATGCAGTCTCTTCTTTTTCTTGATGTGTCAGCTAGATATGCATTTGGTTTTTGATACTTCATTTATTTGTTCTATGTTTTAAATGGGAAATATGTTTTTTCTTCTTTAGCTTATTCAGGGGCTGGGAGATATGAAGAATTTGAATTGCCAAATATTCTGCCATTTTCTTCATGAATTGTGATTGTAATTTGTTGTTTTAAGCTTCAGTGTTTCTTGATTTCGCGAATGTTTTAAAGGAGCATGTGCTGCTTTTCTGGTGCATATCCCCGAGCATAATGAAAATCTTCCTTTATGTTTATGTTATGTTCTCAGGACATGTATAAAAAGGCAGCTGAGTTCTGGGCCGAGCTTAGAGTGGAATTGCTGTCAGCTGGTGCATTTCTCAGTGATGATAAGCCCTCTTCTAATCAGCTCTGGAGACTTTACTGGGCTAATCATCAGGTTTAGATCTCCTTTTTTATGACTCAGAAGCTACTTTATGAAAACAATGTCTTTTACGTTGTAAGAGATATATGTCTCAGTTACCTCCTTTTTCCTGTTCTCAAATGTAGCGCTTCTTTAGACACATGTGTATGTCCGCTAAGGTATCTGCAGTAGTTAGAATCGCAAAGGAAGCATTGGCAGAAAGTAAATGTATAGTCGTAGGCCTTCAGAGCACTGGAGAAGCAAGAACAGAGGAAGCTGTTTCAAAATATGTAAGTTACATGGCTTGCGTCATGTTTCTTCTCTCTGTATTTACATGTATTTACATTTTTGTAAACACTTTTTTATTCAGGTTCGGAGAATAAGCCAAGTCACATAGTTTTGAAATTGTAATTGATACAGCTATACTGTAGATTGTCAAGTCACATAGTTTTGAGATTGTAATTGATACAGCTATGCTGTAGATTGTATGCTTTTAGTACCTCCTTGGTACTTATTTAATGAAATTTAACTTACCTTTTGAGGAAAAAAAAGATGAGCAAGTCAGATATGAAAATTGTGTTCTTTAACCTATCTTCTTCTGTTTCTTGAAATCTTGATAGGGTCTTGAACTTGATGATTTTGTTTCTGGACCTCGTGAGTTGTTACTTAAATTTGTAGAAGAGAATTATCCGTTGCCTGAAAAACCTGAACCACTTCCTGGTATGTGCTTGGTTTCTGTAATGGCTTTGTGTATCTTCCTCGGTTCGTCTAATGCCCACAATATTGCTTATCTTTCTAATTTTTGCATAGAGGAAAGTGTCAAAGAGCTTCAACGAAAGAGACACTCTGCAGCACCTGGTGTATCATTTAGAGGGAGAGTGAGAAAAGCTGCTAAATGGCAAACGAATGATCAAAGGAGTGATGAAGAATCAGATAGTAAATCCCTAATCCCTGAATTCTGTTTTTACCTCTTTATTTGTTAATTATGCTTCTCTCTTCCATTTGGGTATTTTGCTTTTTGAGGTAAGGCAACAGTGGTTTCCTATCATGTTTTGCAGTTCCGCTGTTAATTAAAATCCAACTTTTTTCTTGCAAATAAGGAAATTCTAGGAAATAACTTCCTTCCACGTCCAAAATTGATGCTTTCAATATTCTCTTGTTATATATATGCTCAAACCTCCGGTATACAGTATTGATTCTAGGGGAGTTATCATACATCTTATTTTATTTTTTATAGTTGTTTGTATACATGCAGCTATGCGTAGTATGCTACTCCCTCCGTCCCAATTTATGTGACAGTGTTCGGATTTCGTGAGCCAAACCAAGTTTTTTTTTTTTACCGCGATTTTTTCATATGCATTTTAAATATTTTGAATTGTTAATTATTGTGACTTATAGTTACTTTTTATGTAGTTTCCAAATGTGTAAATTTTATTTTCAAAAGCTTAAAGATTCTAAGTCACCGTCAAAATTAAGTAGTTTGATTCTCCAAATACAAACAATGCCACATAAATTGGAGAGAGGGAGTATAAGCTCTGGGATTCAGTGTTCATCTTTCAAAAAGGTCAAAACCTCTAGATCTTCTTGAAACCCTCTGGTTATAGATGGTATATTGTTACTAGAAGTAGATTGGACTTTACACAACAATTTTGTAATCACAGGATTTATTGCTAGTGAAGGTTCCATGGACATGACTATTTCTTCGCTCTTTAACCGTTAAGGTGTTTAAGTTGGATTATCTATTGAAGTTGTCCCGAACTCTCTTAGCATTGTTGTAATTTGCGGAGTAAAATACATGATGTTTCATATAATTTGCTCTAGGCACTTTTCTCGCTGCTGAATCTTTTTTTATTAAATACAGCTGATTCCGAATATGAATCTACCGAGTCCGATGACGATGAATTTCAGATCTGTGATATTTGTAATTCGGAGGAGGTACTAGTCCCTGAATCTTGGATCTTCTATTTCCCTTGGTGTGTTTGTTCTTTTGTATTGATCTTCTTACTGCTATCGGTGGTCATCCACGTAGGAGAGGAAAAAATTGCTCCAGTGTTCCTGTTGTAGCCAACTTGTACATCCGACATGTTTAATTCCACCTGTTACAGAGTCAGTTTCTGCGGATTGGTGTTGCCATTCTTGCAAGGAAAAGACAGATGAATATATCCAAGCAAGACATGCCTATGTTGCTGAACTTTTGAAAAGGTGGAACATGTGAAAATGTGCTACTCTGATTATATTCACTTTTTGGCTTCATCGTAGATCATCGCAGTCTGTGTTTGAGGAAGGTCTAACACTAACCACCTATATGATGTTAAGGTATGAAGGGGCTGTTGAAAGAAGGTCCAAAATTTTGGATATAATTCGTTCTTTGGATCTTCCAAATAATCCGTTGGATGATATTATTGATCAGGTTCTTCCCTATTCTTCTTTATACGAGTTTGGTAATCCCTCTATGTGTTGGGTTTGGGTGCTTAGTGTACTCTTATTTTGAAATGGTAAGTGTTATTAAAACAGAATAGCACAAGGATTTGTGCCTGGTTACATCCCCAAAAAACCAACAAGGAAACCCTGACAATCTGTGTAAAGTTTTTATACATTGTGATCATGCCCAACTATCTAGCGGTCGTCGCAAATATAATTCGGGTTAAGAATCTGGAGTTGAATCCCCCCGGGAATTAACTTATCAATCACAAGAATTCAAGCAAATCAATGCTCCAAAATATTCAAATAATGATTTTTGTTTGGTTAAACTAACTAATGCAAATAATGAAAATGCAGTAAATTATTAACTAAAGCAAAGAGTTGTAGACAAGATTAAAGAGGCCTAAAGTTATGATTTACCCAATTGTCAGAATCCTTCTTGCCACGTTACCTATAATTTTGCCAATTTATACTGATCGTGCGCACTATACTTACTGTGATTCTCTCTCGAGCAATCACAATAACTTACTAGAAATATTCTCTCGAACTACTCTTGCTTGCAAATTCTCACCGCTCACTCTGACTACGTCAAAACTTCTTTATCTCTAATCCTGCTTTAAAACCTACCGTATTGATTTCTTATATACCTAGGGAGTTATATTGTTCAACAATTATACATTCTTTCTCCAGCAACAACAACAACATACCCAGTATTATCCCACATTGTGGGGTCTGGGGAGGGTAGTGTGTACGCAAACCTTACCCCTACCTTGTAAGGATAGAGAGGTTGTTTCTAATAGACCCTCGGCTCAAGAAAGGATAAGCACCACATTAATGAAAATATAGACAAGAAGGGATAGCACCAAAAAACCATATAAAATCAGAATGAAAACAACAAGATCGTAAGATGACCAACAATGAAAGAAAACAGTTAGTCATAAAAACTTACTACAAACAGAATGCGAGAATGCGTGCCAATACTACCGGTATGAACAATCTAGACCATTTACTATACTACCCTAATTCTCGACCTTCACACCTTCCTATCAAGGTCATGTCCTCGGTGAGCTGAAGTTGCGCCATGTCTTGCCTAATCACCTCTCCCCACTTCTTCTTCGGCCTACCTCTACCTTTCCGTAGGCCCTCTAATGTCAATTTCTCACACATCCTCACCGGAGCATCTGTGCTCCTCCTCCTCACATGTCCTAACCACCTGAGCCTCGCTTCCCGCATCTTGTCCTCAATAGGGGCCACACCCACCTTGTCGCGAATAACCTCATTCCTAATCCTATCTAACCTGGTGTGCCCGCATATCCATCTCAATATCCTCATCTTTGCTACCTTCATCTTTTGGACATGGGCGATCTTGACTGGCCAACACTCAGCCCCATACAACATAGTCTGTATGACCACCACTCTGTAGAACTTACCTTTAAATGTCGATGATACCTTTTTGTCACACAAAACACCGGAAGCGAGTCTACATTTCATCCATCCCGCCCAAATACGATGTGTGACATCTTCATCAATCTCCCCACCCCCCTGTATAATGGACCCAAGGTATTTAAAACTTCCTCTCCTGGGGATGAATTGCGAGTCCAGCCTCACCTCCCCTTCCTCACCACTGAATTTACACTCTTGAAACCTTTAGACTCCAGGGTCTGCCTCCATAACTCGAACCTCGCATTCACACCGCTTCGCGTCTCGTCAATCAATACAATATCATCTGCAAATAGCATGCACCACGACAACTCCCCTTGGATGTGGTGCGTCAGTACGTCCTTCGCCAAGGCAAACAAAAAAGGGCCCCTGATGCAACCCCATCATGACCGGGAAATGGTCCGAGTCCCCTCCCACCGTTCTCATTCGGGTCTTTGCTCCATCATACATATCCTTAATCACTCTAATGTAGGCAACATGTACACCTCTAGCCTCCAAACATATCCACAAAATCTCCCTCGGGACTTTATCGTACGCCTTTTGTAAGTCGATGAACACCATATGTAAGTCCTTCCTCTCCCTATACTGCTCCATCAATCTCATAACAAGGTGAATGACATTCTTTCTCAAGCAATATATAATAATTAGGCACAGTCAATCAAGGGCCAGTCAATTAGCTAAAATACACATGTACTTGAACAAGTAGAGAAATATAAATGCCCAATTATATTAAAACCCAACAAGAATTTATCCTTCAAAAGGTTCCATCAAGTCCTAGATAAAAACTGTTTCCGAATCTTCCGCCGTGCTCCTTGCGTGTTCTTGCCTTCAAAGATGTTGTGTAACCCTTTAAAAACGACTTAAAATATTAATTATACGTCATAGGGTTTGCATGGGGCGGCCTTCACTTTTCCAGTTGCGGACAGAAGAACTGGGTGGCAGGCCTAGGGCTCGCGCGACCTGTTGGCATGCTCCCAGTTCTTTCTTTTTCTTTTTTTATTTCTTGCGCAGGGGCTAGTGCCAATTGCTACACTTCACTGGTTTTGCTTCATGCCAAAGGCCTTGGCGTGCCTAAGGCTCGCGCGAGGCGAGATCTTTGGCACACTCTCAGCTCTTGCTTCTTCTCTTCTTGCTCCAAATCGTCCTATTTTGAACACCTTTCGTCCAAACCCGTTCCTACACACAAGAAACACGTAATGAGCATATTTCATGTGGATAAGCATATGATCTCCCGCAACTCGCATACAAAATGATATGAGAACATACTCAAAACTATGCATTTTTTGGTCATTTATCACACTGTTACAGGATTTCAGTATCATTTACAAAATCCATTTTACACCAACAGGAGGCCAAAAAAATACAGTCATATTTTATCTTTCTGTGCTGGCTTGTCTATCAAAATTTCTTCTATTTCTTTCCCTCCGGAGACACCACCATATACATGCTGGTATTGTAATCCATGTGGTTTTTTCTGCTCCAGCACATTGGGTGCTCAGTGTACTCTTTGTTAATGGGTTGTTTAAAGTTAAAAATAGTAGACAGAGGTGCTCTTTATGGTGTCATGTTTTTAGGTATTTGCAGTTTAATTTTGGATATCGGTACTTTTATCAGTCTTTCAACTCCTCCATCAGAAAAAATTGTATTTCAACTCTTAGATGACTTTAATCTTTGATTAAAATTGTCAATTCTATCTTCTTTGGCAAAAGAAAGTGTGAGTGAAGTGTATGTTAGTCTTTTGACATGATGAACTTTAGGTGCTTAAAGTCTGAAATGACCTTGTGGTTGTAGCTTATGTCAAAGAGGGTTAAATTAACGAGAAGATATTAGTTCAGAGGTTAAAAACTACGGTATCTGAAAGCAAATGTTTAAAATTACGTAACTCTACACAAATGAAAATACCCATAAATACACATCCTTAGACTATGATGTTCCTAAGTTTAGTACATAAACCATTAGCCAAAGGGCACTTGTCGTTTTGTTAAGAAAGGTGTATCTGCTTCTTTTACATGCATATTGATTTACTGTACTTTTTAAAACTTCAACAGTTCTAGGAAATTTGATTGATCATGACCATATGACAGAGGCAGCTTCTGAATTCTCTAGAAGAGTTGTATATTTGATAGCGAAAGAAAAACAATTAAGTCATTTTGCCAAACTTCAAGACTGCATGAAAATTGTTATCTCCATCGCAGGTTTAAATTTGTCTTAAATAGCTTGATTAGGTAATGTTTTGATGATCGTTTTCAGGACAAATGATTTTGCATTTATAGCAGTAAAGCAAAACAGTGAATTTCTTCAAACATACAACATACGCCTCCAGGAATAAGGAAATGCTTCACTTTATGAGAAGTGCAGCAAAAGTGTAGAAATTACCTAACAGACTATTATAATTTTACTACAAAGACGGTTACTAAGTAGCATATTATATGTACTAAATACTCATCCGATATATCTCTTAACAGATGTTAAGTAGGTGATCTAACTATAGCAAGATAATTCCTAAATAATTTTGTGTTGGAGTTTAAGTTCTGGAGGTCTTGAAAAAGAACTTTAATTTTGGTTATTAATTTTATATGTACGTATCTGTATATACATATGTGCAAAAAAGAAAATTTTTATATATATATATTTATATATATATATATATATATATATATATATATATAGAGAGAGAGAGAGAGAGAGAGAGAGAGAGAGAGAGAGAGACCTATTCTTGCTCCTCACTTAAATCAATCTATACCTTAAATAGCTCAATATTATCATTTGATGGGATAAAGCACTTTACAAACTTTTTCATTTGTTCTGGTATGACTCAAAATGGAAAGCACCTCAGTATATTTGAAAGGATTTCTCAAATTAATTTTTGAAATGTAACTGCCAATTCAATTGGTAAATACTCTTTCAGCAATATTTAATGGTAGACCGATCATTTCAAAAGTGAGTTGAAAAGAAAAGGTCACTATACAAATTACAATTCTCAACAAAAAGCATTGTCAAGATTATATTGGTAAAATTTCAAGTGTCATGTTAAGTTGATTTTAGTTATTGCGCAAGCTTTCATGTCTCTACTTTAGTCGAATATAAGGATGGTGAGTTATTGAATGCCATTGGAAACATATTTCATGCGAGGTGGACGCCCTAATTGCTCGGGCATAGTGCCCAGGCACTTTCCTCACAAACAAGATTTTCGCCCTTCACTCCCTAATTTCCCAAGTTTCCGACTCCTTTATTTGTAATCCCTCTATTCCACTTTACGTGACGTAGTTACCATTTGGAGAGTCAAATAAGGGTTTTTTAACCATTTTTTTGCAAATACTTTCGAATATTTTAAATTGCTAACTATTGTGACTTATAATACTTTTTACGTAGTTTCTAAAAAATTATAAATTCTATGTTCGAAATTTCGAATTCACACTGAAAATCAAACAGCTTGATTCTCGTACTCCGGACTACGTCACATAAAGTGGAACATGGGGAGCATAAGTTAATCTAAAGACCTGGCGATAACAGGGCCCAAGAAAGCTCAAAGCTAGTGAATACTATATAGAGAAATTGACCTTGGGCCTAACTCAACCTCAAAAGCTAGCTCATGAGGAGAGGCAAGTACCACATAAGGAGACCCCAACTCATTTCCTCAACCAATGTGAACTTAATAAATATGGAGTATAAAATAGAGGGATCTTATTTACGAGCATTAGCAGAGTACAACCACTCTGGCAGAAGTTGGTGAATTTGGATGAGAATCAAAGCACAAGAATTTTATAGGACCTACGAGACAAAGGTAGCAACATGTGATGAAAATGAAGAGGTGAATCAAATGGTGGCCAATGAAGAGAACATCGCTAGTGTAGAAAGTAGTAGCGGCAGATGTCTATAAGGAAATAAGTAATGTAATCAGGAAGGGCTTTGGAAGGGATTCTTGAGAAGTGGAAGTTGTGGTCATCTATGTTGCTTGGATCGTCCATTTACCGTCAGCAACCGGTGTCTTACAGAACACGAAACCGCGCGGGTGTGTGATTCGTGTTGGATCTGGTTAACTCGAGGGTGCATTGACTCATAAGAGGCAAGACAAAGGAAGAAAGCACCGCCAAGTCTAGAGGAGATCAGCCGCCGTCGTTGCCATCCCCACCGTCACACCGTTGCCATCTTGCAACTTCTAGGCAGATGCTGGTGTTCAAATTTAGGGTTTGTTTTGTTTCGTGGGTTCGCTTCGTAGGTTTCTTTTAATAATAAGTTGGTGCAGGTTGGGTTTCTAAGCAGTGGCGGAGTCAGAATTTTCATTAGGGGCGGTCAAAATATAAAGAAATAAACTCACCAAGAATTTTCTTCTCTTCTTCTTCTTCTTCTTCTTCTTCTTCTTCTTCTTTTGCCTCTGTTTTTGATCAAGCAGCGGCCAACAGAACAAAGTCTGCTTTTGCTATGTTTTTTTTTCCTTTTTCTTCTTCGTCTTTTTTTCTTTTGCTCTGTTTTTTATCGAGCAACATCCTGTTTTTGCTCTGTTCTGACTTCTGTCTTTCTTTTTGTTCTTCAGTTCTTCTTCTCTTCTTCTTTCTTTTTTTGCTCTGTTTTTTGTTTTTCAATTTCTTCAAAGCTTCACTTTGGGAAGAGGCAGAGATCTTTATTTCAAACCTGAAGAAGAATAGATGTTGCTTGTTTTAGTTTATGGAATCTACTATGACTATCGAGTTTTTTAATTTTTGAATTGAGATATTTATTATTATATTATTGCTATTGAGTTTTTAGTTTTATATATATATATATATATATATATTACTTTTTGTATAAATTGCCGCTTCACATAAAAAAGGCGAGCGTTTCGCTTCTCGCCTCTCGCGTCAGTGAAGCGGGCCCTCGTCGTTATTTGTCGCCGCACGCTATTCAAAACACTACTATAGATACATATTTTAAAAAACATATCTAGCTACACAGTGGAATTTTCCGACAAAGGGGTGTCCTCCTTGAGTGCGTGTGGCTCCGCCACTTCTAAGGGCTTTTTATGTTGATATGGGCTGAGTTTAAAAAGGACTTTTTTCTAACATAGCTGGTGGTTTCTTTTATAGGTTGGGCTTGAAAGAATCTTTTTATGTTTTTGGTGGTTTGGACCTTAACAAATATATCAAGGACTTATGTTTTCTTATTTGGACCAAAAACGTAGGTTGTTTTTACCACATATTATATGCTTATTATTATTATCAAAACCCAAGTACTAATAGATTCTTACCAAATTATCAACCAAAAATAAGTAGAAGGTTCTCTGTTCTTACTAATAATTATATATTATATTACTATGGTTGTATAAAAAAAATACTATATTTATATTCCTTATCAAAACAATTATAATTATATCAACTTATTGTTATATAATAGTCATTTTTCTTTTAACTTATTAGCATTAATGGATTTGAATCACTTTGTTGTCTAAAGATAAGTTAATTTTCAACAATCTTAAATAACTAATTGTCATATATTCTTATATATTTATCAGCCATTTCTTGTCACTTGTATCCGTACTTGTATTCGTACTGCGATCCAATACCCTTGAATCCTAAAATTTATATTATGACGAATCTGACGTTTAGATCTGCACCCGTATCCGAGCAATGTAGGCGTCATGGTTGGCAAGTATTAAGGTTGCAACAAAGAACACGAGGAAGGGGGTGCCATGACTATGAGATAATGTGGTTAAGAGCTAGGGGTAAGAGCTTGCGCTTCCACGTATGGAAGGGTTAAGAGTCCTTAAAAGTTGTTGCTTAGTGTAAGCAATTACACGGAGCAAAATGTGTGTTGTAACAATTGTGAAATGGGGCAATCCACCATCAAAAGGAAAATATTGTTGGAAAAAAAATCCTTTTGGATAACCGTACACGTGTGCAATATTTTTCATTTCACTTTTAAATTTTTCCATTTTTATTTTCTAGAATATTGCTGATACTTATATTAATTCTTAATTTTTAAACCAAATTTTATGCTTAATTTGTAAAAAGTTTAAATTTTATTCTATTTTAGTAATTTATATGAGTAAACATTAAAAATTCATAGTGCTTATGTCCTACGCCTCGGTTTAGTTCCCTCCCATGCTAGGTGAAATGCGCCCCATTGTGGCCCAATTCTTTTAAATTTGGTAATGATTGTAATGGCAAATCAGTTATTCGTCAGATTCCAATTGATTGTACTAATTGTACAAGCATCCATTTCTCTCTAAAGGACAATCCTGAATCTTTTTGGTGTTCAATGGGTGATGCCAAGCTCTGTAAAGGAAATGTTACATAGTTGGAGCGGTTTTCGTAGAAGAAGAAAGCAGAAGGCGTGGAAGTTCGCCCCGTTAGCTCTCATGTGGGTAGTATGGGGGAGAGAAATAGGAGAACTTTTGAGGAGATTGAGTTTCCTTTTTCACATCTTAAGAATAGTCTTTTATCTTTGATCGCTTTTTGGTGCACTCATTTAGCCCCTACTTGTATAGAAGATTGGGCGTTTTTTGTAGAGAATCATGTTCTGATGTAAATTCTCTACGTCTTTGGTATACTTCGTGTATACGGGAGTTCTCTCCCTTTTGATTAATACAATTTACCTTATCAAAAAAAAAGGAGAAACCAGAAAAGGATNGCATCCATTTCTCTCCTATAGTTATAAGCCTTTTCCTGGGCACCAGTTGCAACTTTTGAGGCATTACAAGTTAAATTTGCCATATCACACCACTGTTCAATGGAAAAAATAGGTAGACTGCTCAAAATGTTTAGGTGGTTTATGCATTTGCAAATTCCACCTTTGCACCCAACCCAATCGCCTCTTCGAGGTATTATAAGCACAGATTTATATATTTCAAGTCTTACGCAGCTTGGGGGCCCAGAGAAAGTGGCAGAAATAACAGGGAGAAAGGGCATGCTCGTGAGGGCGTCTGGTGGAAAAGGTGTCACCTATCAGGCACGAAACACGTGAGTTTGTGATGTTTTACATCAGATTATATCTTTTCTTTCTCATATTGGCTGAGCAATTTTTTCTTTTTTCAGGAAGGATGTATCCATGGAAATGGTTAATATACATGAGAAGCAGCTTTTCATGGATGGGAAGAAGCTGGTAGCTATAATTTCTGAAGCTGGGTCAGCTGGAGTTTCTTTGCAAGCTGATAGAAGGGCTTTAAACCAGGTAGCTTTTTGATTTTTTGTTTTCATCATTTACTGCATGAACACTTCAATGAAGATTGTTAAAGATATCCTCTTATATATATGTATATATTATATACACATACATCTGTATGTATATATTTTGTGTGTGTGAATGTAGTAGACACCCTACTACACCCTCTTTTCTATATTTATCTTCAGATCCTTAATTGATGGCTGCTTTTGATAGCTTTTTTCTGATTATGTTGTTTGAATTTCTTCCCTTGTGTCAGAGAAGAAGGGTCCATTTGACTTTGGAATTACCTTGGAGTGCTGATCGGGCAATTCAGCAGTTTGGAAGAACTCATCGCTCAAATCAAGCTTCTGCACCTGAGTATAAGTAGGTACCGTGTCTGTTTATACGTGAATAATGGTTCTGCTATATGATGGCAAACCTGGACTGTACGAGTCACCATTGTAACTATATGATGGCGTACCTCGACTGGACAAGTTGCCACTAAATATGTTTTTCATACTTGCCAAAAATTAATCTCCCTGTATAAATCACTTATTTCATATTTTTCACATGTGATATTTTTCTCTTTCTCAATATACAGGCTACTTTTTACTAATCTTGGTGGAGAACGGCGGTTTGCATCTGTGGTTGCTAAGAGACTTGAATCACTTGGGGCACTGACTCAGGGAGATCGTCGGTGAGTGCAATATTTTTTAGCCTATATTGCAAGTCTGTCTTATGACAACATGAATTAGTGACGGCTCTTTTCAATTGTTCTTGATGTATTGCAGAGCTGGACTATCTCTTAGTGCTTATAACTATGATAGTTCCTTTGGGAAGAGGGCCCTGATGATGTTGTATAGAGGGATCATGGAGCAGGTGTCTGACTGTTGCTTGATACTGTTATTTTTATCATGTATTCGATTCCTTTCTCACTTTAGCATGTTTATGTGCAAATCAAAAGTCAACATTCTATGGTTTGCAGGATCCTTTGCCACTTGTACCACCAGGTTGTTCTGCTGATAAACCAGATGCTTTACAGGATTTCATTTTGAAGGGGAAAGCTGCGCTTGTTTCTGTTGGAATAATAAGAGACTCCGTTCTTGGTACTACGTCTAGCTTTTTAAATGAATCAATTTAAAGTCTTGTTAATGGAGATAAATAAATACTAGTATAAGAAGTTTATCAGGGCTATCTAAGTCATCACAGCCTCTCAATCGAGTATCTTCTGACTGCGGAAAACATCTTTAAGCAAAAAGCAAAAAAAAGAAAAGAAAAGAAAGAAAGGTTAAACCATATGATAATAACTTAATGGCTACTTGCTTATTGAACCAACCTACTATATATGTTGTTCTTTTGGCCCTCAATAGGATAATAAGGTAAGGTCTAGCCCCCCTTACTTGTACTTTCCTCTTTGAGGTTTTTCAATATTAATAAAAGCCCACACATGCTTCCTGCATAGGTGGTATTAGATTTAAGGATTAAAACGGGAACACTTATTAATAAAGAAATGGACAATGGGCATAATTCAACCCCGAAAGTTAGCTCATGAGGTGAGGATTGCTCAAGCCATATAAGGAGACCAAGTCCCCCATCCCCATCCCGCACACTCAGGCCTGCCAACTGAAGCATGGACAATATAATATGTGCGTCCAACATCGGTGAAACAAAGAATTGGGATGGGTACGGCTCCGATACCATGATAAAGAATGGACATTGAGCCTAACTCAACCACAAAAGCTAGCTCACGAGGTGAGGATTGCCCATGCCATATTAGGAGACCAAGTCCCCATCCCCATCAGATGTGGGAGACTCTCAACACTTATAAGCTGCTTTCTATAATTTGGAGGGCTTTTATTAGAAACTCTTAAGAATTTTTATATTTCTGTGCGCGCACATGGTTGTGCATACATTCATGCATCTTTGTGGCCGGTGGTGTTTGTTCATGTTTCATTTACATGCTAGCAAGAATTATTGTCCGTCGCTGAAGGTAGTTAAGTTTGCCGCCTTAAAAGAAATAGTCAAACTTGTTTGGGTTTGGTGACTAGCATTTCAGTGTTCACCCTCTCATCCCAAACTTACACTTTTTCCACTCTTTGGTTTTGCTGATCTTTAAGGTAATGGAAAGGACTCTGGAAAGCTTTCTGGCCGTATAGTTGATTCGGACATGCATGATGTTGGGCGTTTCCTTAACAGGCTCTTGGGATTGCCACCTGAAATCCAAAATAGGTCTATTATCTATCAATTTAAATATGTATGCTTGCTATCCATGTCTGTAACCAAAAAGTTTGTTTTGAATTCAGGCTTTTTGAGTTATTTGTCAGCATTCTTGATCTTTTAGTTCAGAATGCACGCCTTGAAGGACATTTAGACTCTGGAATTGTTGATATGAAAGCTACCACTGTTGAACTACAAGGGACGCCAAAGGTTATGCTGTTCCTGTTTTGTCTTTGCATTCTTATATAAAACATGTTGTGACATCAACCTATGGCAGACTGTTCATATTGACAACTTGTCCGGGGCTTCAACCATATTGTTTACTTTTACATTGGATCGTGGACTCATTTGGGAGGTATACATATTACCATTATAAACTTGAGTTAGATGGCTACCTTCCAAGTTTGCTTTGTAACCTTTTATTTTCCACCTGTAGTCAGCGTATGCGTTGCTTGAAGAGAAGCAAAAGGATGAGTCTAGTTCAACTAATAGTGGATTCTATGAATCCAAACGAGAATGGTTGGGAAGATGGCATTTTCTATTAGCATTTGAAGGGTATGGAAATTCTTGTCGGTAATTTTGTTATTTCTGTATATTGGTATTTTGGTTTGCAAGTGCAGTCAACCTTATTCAACTTGGTATGAGGGACCAGATTGTATTTCTTTTGCATGCACAAAGGATTATGCCTACGTCAATCAGTCAACTACATTTCAATCCCAATCCCAACTCAGCTGGGCTCTATGAATGATTTGTACCTTTTCCGCTCTTCTACCCAAGTCCATTTCCCCGTGCATAGCGGGAGCTTAATGCACATGGCTGCCCTTTAAGGCAATTTAAGGATTTTCTATATCTCACACTTACCTTACATGGATAACTAGTTTAATCCCAAATAGTTGGTAGAACTTATATAGATCCATTTGTTTTAAATTTAGCTAAGTATGCATTTATTAGGAGAAACTAAAGGTTTTCTGTGACAACTTCTCTCCATGTGATTTTAGGTTTATCTCATCTAATTATAAGACCTTACATAATCATATTCAACTTAGGTCGTAACTAGACCATCTCATGCTATCTTTTCTCATTTTAGCGTCTATTTATGCTGCTTGCATCTGTTGTCGTATGTGATCATTGTAATCTTGTTCAATCTTAAATGACTTTGCATCTATTTTAACATTTTCATTTCAATGGAATTCATCTATTTTAACATTACTGGCCTCACAATGGTCCTATATAACTTGTTAGGCATCTTCCAATCTCGTGAGGCCCCTCCATTTCAGAATTTTATCTAATTTCTATGTATTATTTGATGGAGTATTTTAGGAGAAAACGTATACAAGTATACAAAAGAATAGCGGACCTAGAGAAAATATGGTTCTCTAGAATGACATCCAATTATCTAACCTAATAGACCTTGGGTGGTGGGTATTCAAAAAATTCACCAGAAACAAAAGATAACTTTTTTAACTCTACAGATTCATATGCTTACTCAGTGGCTAGACATCTTTGGGCTCAGTTTGCTTGTATATTTGGGCTTAATTGGGTCATGCTAAAGTGGATCTTCTGACACACAGGGAATGCCTTCTTTCTTTCATGAGATATTGTTACTGTGTGTTAAGAAGCTCTTTGTGAGAGAAATTTCTAGGAGTGAATTCTGTTCCACCAGTGGAGGTACAGACAAGATGTTGTACCACAAAACAAGGGGGCTATAAATCAAATTTCTTTATTCTCGATAACTGTGATAGATGTTTATGTTTATTGGCATTCTGGTGTAAACAAGAGGATGTATATGTATACATTTTGTCTTACTTCTACTTCTCCTAAAACCCTTACTCTCTAGAGGGGTTCTCTTCAGTTTCAACTTTTAGTTGGTTCCTTGCTGGTTTCATCAATTAACACAAAATTATCTACGAACAATGTGCACCATTTATACCTCATGAAACTTTGAAGTAAAAATGTGCCATTCTCAGGCTTTCATCTAGCAATTTGAAGATTTTGTATGAATTGGAAAGAGGCATAGCGTGATGTTCCCCTAGCTTCCGTCCTTTCACAACTAATGCAGGCTCATGCATTGTCCAAGTCTTTTTCCTGTAGTTGGATTTTTTCGTTTAAAATGTTCAATTTTGATCTGTTTTAAGAATGCAATGCTAATGTTTTTCATGAAAGTGCCTTTGGTCCAAATGCCCGTGATTTTGATCTTTCTGTTTCGTGGTTATTTCAGTTCTGCTTCAGGAATGTACAAGGTATTTCGTCCAACTGTTGGAGAGGCCCTTAGGTTAGGCTTTAGGTTAACTTCTTCCTTTTAGGAATTGACTGTTTCATGCTCTGCACCCTAACCCATCTTCCTCTTCCTTGTGCTGTGCTTTACTTAACACTTCTCAATGTCTAGGGAGATGCCCCTCGCAGAATTGAAAGACAAGTACCGGAAACTATCTTCCTTAGAAAAGGCCCGTCATGGATGGGAAGATGAATATGACGTTTCATTGAAACAGGTAAAATTCTTTATGATCATATCTTGCAGGATACCCTGATGAAAAGCGTTGGGAAGCTTCCTTGATCTTTTTATGTGACAGGACGTATAGTCTTATCATAATCATAGGATCAGCATTCCAGTGTTTTTCTGCATCCTGATCTTGTTTATGAATTGGTTATCTAAAAGGCAATAGCAAATAAAATTCCCATTGAAATTCGATTTTCACTGGTGTGATATGGGAGAGTTCATCTGATAGAAGAAAAGACCTGGGAAAATGGAGCAGTTTAAATTGATTCCGTCGAAAACTATTAATTACAATCCTCGTTTCAGACATAATCTCTTCTCAAATAGGAACCAGCGCGGATTTTCAGCGGAATTCAGTATTTCATGGGGCTCAGATGAGGAGAAGGCTAAAATCTTTTGATGAATATTGTGACAGAACTCAAAGGCGGACTGTAGCTTGAACTATGAATATTGTGACAGAACTCAAAGGTGGACTGTAGCTTGAACTATGATGATTAAAAGAGGAAAAATACAATGATGTACACTGCTGAATAAAAGATTAACCTTGATAAGTGACCTTGTATTTGTGCTTTCAGAGAGTACTAGGTACAGGATGTGGATAGATCTGGAACAATCTTTAGGTTTTAGTGTATGCATTCGTTGTATATAGCTGGCATGCCTTGATTTGAACAGGCTGCATCCCTCCTTTTATTGCGTTTCTAGTACACTTTATTTGCCCGTAAATAGAAAATAACATGAAATTGAAGCAATTTGATGAAGCAAACTTGTACTTTTAACACAAGAATGTTGATTCCAGCTAGGCTTCATGGGGAAAAAACAAGAGGATCCCCCTTAAATGTTTCTATTAGGCCTTGAATGTTGTAAGGAATGTAGAGAGAGGGGGCTCACCTTATTGCCATAAAAATCTCAACTAACTTTGTTTTGTTTTATTGGATTATGAAAATACCCTTGTAGTATTCGTGGATTCGTTGTTGCTGAGTATTTCAAGCATCATTTCTTTCAGAACTCATTCTGGGTTTCACCTGCAGTGTATGCATGGCCCAAAATGTAAGCTAGGCAGTTTCTGCACAGTCGGTAGAAGATTACAAGAAGTTAATGTGTTAGGTGGGCTTATACTTCCTGTGTGGGGAACTGTTGAGAAGGCGCTCTCTAAGCAAGTAAGATCTTCTTCTTTCATATGTTTTTCAGTATCATTTTCCTACAGTATATTCTCTGATATATCTTGGATGTGTCACACATGCGATACATGAGCTGAGAAATATGTAAGTGCTAATTCTGATTAGGAATACGCTTAAAAAAAAAGAATATCTCGTGATAAGTGAATCAAGAGATGGAGAAAGTCTGAAGATAAAGAAAGTATATATAAAATACTGAGAGCTGATTATCTTGCTAATGAAAAAACTGTTTACAATGTAAGTTGGCTTTAGAAGGACATCAAATGGAAATGGCTCTTATCAAGTAATATTTGACCCATAACTGTAAGGGTCTTGCCAAACAGAATGTTATGTGAGCATTGCCTGAAACGTCAAACAGAACCAGCACACGGTGCTTGTGTCAGCTTGCTATATTACCGGCTATAACACTTCCATTGAAAATGTTCATTTCAATCTGCAAAAATCCCAAGGATAAGCGACGATTAGAATTATATAATGAACCCAATACCTGCCACACAGAGAGCACAATCTTTGATAACTGCCTCACATCTTCTGTCCATTTCCTTTAAGATCTTGTTTCACAGTTAATGCCTTTTATCTCTTCCTTATTCACCAGTGGTTTACCCATGTTTCCTATGTAGCATTCTTTGGGGGATGGGGGGTTAATAATCATATAATTTGCACAAAATAATTACTGTCCATATAATTCATAGAAAGCTTGCACTTTCAGCTACAGCCTACAAGGAGCTCAAAAAGTTGAAAGATTTTCTAGACGAGTTAAAACAATGGTGTCTGCTCAGGAAAGAAAAAACGTGTGCAAACATCTTGTCTTAAGGCTACTAGAATTTGTTGCATGTCGTTGAAACATATTCTCTTCTCTCGTTCAATAATGTCCAACCAAAGCAAATCAACAACTTCCGTAGTTTCTTTGGTACTGGATTTCCTTGCCATATTTTGGAACATCTGGTCACACTGATAGGCACAGTCAAGTGGAGTTCTTAGAGGTTAAGAAAAGTATTCCGCAATTTAGTAGCCATAGTACAGTGAAGAAACAGGTGTGTTATAGTCTCTTCCTTTTTACCACTCATGGGGCATCTGTTAGCACAAGTGTACGCCCGCTTTATCAACCCTGTCCAATGTCACTAATGCTTCCTGGGCTGCTATTCAACCAAATAGGATTCCACTGAAAAACTGTCCTTTTTTGTCAACTGATCATGTTGAGTCTGGATTTCCACCCAACCTCTCATGCCTATTCAATAACCAAGTTTATTTCCCCCAGTCATTACCTCAGTCTTACGATTATGCAGTTCTTATGTTGTGCAATTGTGGATTTTTGATCTACAGCCACATTGAACGAATCTTGGAGGTCTAAACTCAGAGGTGTTTGTCCATCAAACCAGCAAAGTGTTTCTATCTATCCCACACCAACATGACAATGCCTGCGTCCCTACTCTTTCACAGATTTTTGGCTGATTCATTATATATGGTTTTAACGTCTGTTCTGAAGGTTCTGGGCTCTGACTGTTTGCTGTTTTCCCTCTGCATGTACATTTATATGTGAGGGAGATAGGTGGTCATGGCTGGTTTTTTCCGTTTTTCATTATGTAATACTAGTACAAGTGAAGTTACCAATGAATTAGATAGCACATCATGCCATTCTTTGGCTGAAATCATTTGCCTGTAAATTGAGTTAATTTATGAAGATTCAAGTACAGTATTCCAACTGCCAGATATCACTACCATAGTTGACACTTGCCACACAAAAAAGGGATACTGTAGGTTTAAAGTGAGCAGGCTCAATCTGAGATTTCACGAGGCACCAGAAATTTTGCTTACGATCATTTGTGCTTTATTTCTTGCGTCGAGAGAGAATTTTCTTCTAAAAGGGTTGTTGCACCATCCTCACTCGTTTACTGGTTCCCAATTGTTGTTGGATACAGGCTCGCCAAAGCCATCGGAGAATCCGCATTGTACGGATTGTGACAACTACTGACAATCAGCGAATTGTAGGGTTGCTTATCCCAAATGCAGCAGTAGAATCAGTGCTTCAAGGTTATAATACTGTTGATTCTCTCCTTTCACAATTGTATCTTAGTGCATTGCAACCAACTTTGGGGGTTTGATTCCTCTTGTTATGTGTCCCATATTGGTAGGGATGGTTGTTTGTCTTTTGGTTTTGGGCTATCCTCACCTCATTAGCTAGCTTTTGAGGTTGGGTTAGGCCCAAGGTCCATTTGTTAACATGGTATTAGAGCCAAGCCAGGGCCATCCCTGTATTTTGTTTCCCAATGTTGGGCTCCCATGTTATATTATCTACTCAAATCGGCAAGCGTGGGCGTGCAGGTGGGTTGTTGGGGGGGAACCTATTCTGCATTTTTTATTTTTTAACTGCTTTTAATTATTT